CATGGGAAGAGAAGCCTGGCAGACTGCAGTCCATGGGGTCACAAAGAGTTGGACACAACTGAGCAACTAATACACTAATTCCTAGAGCCTAAATGAGTTAAATATTACTTTTATGTGAAAATTTATGTTCACTTTTTTCTTGATATTATTAGTGGTTTCTGAAAAACATATTTTAAAATAAATTATTTCCACAATACCATCAACTTTTAGGCAATAATTGAATTGATTGAATATTTTACACTGCTCTTTTGTCTACCTTACAGTAGATATCCACTCAAGTTATTCCCTTGTGGTGAGAAAGAGTTAAAAAGAACTTTCAAAGCAACTCTTAAAACTTGCAACAAAGTACTGAAAAAAGTCAACCTAATGAATATATACTCTTTTCAGTTTAATAAAACAAACATTTATCTAAAGCTTTATGGTAAGTACTTCAGAGGATTCAAATAACAAGATTCTAAGGATCCATAATGCAAGGCAGACTGACAAGAATAAAGAGGTTATGGTACTTCAGGAATACAAACAGTAATAAGAAAAACTTCTCAATGTCCATAAGGCAAGCCCTACTGATAAAGGCTCTCCAACAGCAGTTACAAGAAAGGACCATGGGAAAACCCAAGAGAGAGTATTGTATATGTCTGAATATATGGTATATCATTTCCCCCCAAAGTCAGGCATCGGAAGGAAAGGTCCTTATGGTAAGTTTTCTTCAAGGCATTCTAGCAGAATGCTTCAGGCATAAGTTTTGAATCCACATTAGTTGAGTTCAAATACTTTCTTCCTTATATACTATTTGTGGGCTCTTAGATGGAATAATCTTTTTGTGTCTTGGTTTCTTCACTGGCTAAAAAGAAAAAAAAAAAAGAGAGACAATGATAGTATCTACCCCATACCTGTTGAGAGAATTGAGTTCATAATGCGTAACAATGCCTGGTGCATAGAACTTGTGTATCACAGGATCTCCACCTGCTTGCAATTATTGTTCATTAATCTGAACTGCAAACTACAGAACTGCAGGAGTGGGGGATGGGAAGCATAGCCTGAAATGTCCTCAAGCAATCCTAGTTTAGGATATACACAAAGGCCATCCAATAAACTTGGTTAAAAGGAGGTGAAGATATTAAAAACAAATTAAGGAATTATTTTGGGGATGTGACCTCACAGTTCTAAGTGTACCATGTTAGTGTAAGGATCCTTTTAAAACCACTCAAAAACACTGTTAAGAGATCATTAGCATATATATTTTGGATGAATGAGAAAAAATGACTTCTTAATATAAAGCAAGTAGGAACTTTTGGTTTGCAAAGAAATTACCAATGACAGGATCATAAAAGATTTCAGAAAGTTAGGTACCTTCAAAAATTTAGATAGAAGTGAAAATAATATTCTCTGAAACAAAACACCTGTGATTCAAAGTGAGGTTCTAGGGAAGTCACTGACATCAAAGTTGCAAGTTAAAATCTGCATAAGATTATTTCATAAAATACGAGTGGAAAAGGCAGTATATATACTATATCATTTTATTTTCATGAATAATTTATCTAAAATAATGAATTAAATATTATAAGTAGACATGTCTAGTTTTATCTACATTCCTAAAATTTTATGTTTTGCAAAACACTAGATTTTCCTTTATAGAAAAATGGAAGGATTACTTTAAATTCTGTAAATAATTCTGGGTATCAGAGATTTGGAAAGGCTTTAGAGGGAGGTGGTATTTGAAGCTAGTCTTGAAGAATAATTGGAGAAAGGATAAGAATTAATTGTATTGAGAGATGACTATTTTCTCGGTGCCATAGATATGTAATCAGGGTTTACAGATGGTTGAATTGAGGCTCAGATAAGTTGAATTTGCTCAAAATGCCACAACCTACACTGATCAGGCTTCATTTTGAGCACCGACCTTTGCAATTTCAGCACTGCGTGCTTTCCAAAACAGGCAATCCAGTGCAGAGGATGGTTCCTGGAGAAGACTGGGCTGGAATTCTCTCTGCCTTATGGCATAATTGGTGTAAATCACTCGACATCTTTTTCTTAAGTTTCCTTTCTTATAGTGGGGATAATAACACTATCTCTTCAAAGAGTTGTTGGGATAATTAAATGAGCTTTTGCAAGTAAAGTGCTGGGAATAGCAACTGGCACAGAAATGCTCTATGGGTGTTAGCCTTGATGATGTAAGGAAAAGGGGAAGGAGGAAAAGGCGGAGGAGAGGAGGATGGTTTCCACTCTCTCCAGCTGCCTCCTTCAGAAGCAGAGTGCATTCTGGGTAGGAGAGATGGGTGGAGCAGAGACACAAAATCTGGCAAGGGCAGAGCTATGCCTGCTCTCCCTCTGAAAATGGAGGAAATAAAGGTTGGAATGGGTCATTCTGGAATAAATACAAAGATAAAAAGATATATTCCAAATACATATTTGAAATATTTGAAATAAACATATGGAAATTAACCTGTACTATATAGTAGAATGGCCTTGACAGTCAACAGATTTTTCATACTTCAATTTTTATAAAGTTACTTTTCCTGCACACTTTTCTCCCTGAATGCCTAACTATGAGGGCTGCTACATATCAATACATTACGCATAGGCTATGAATAGAGCCTAGAAGTGTTTGATTTATCCATTATTTACTACTTAAACTAAGTCTCAATCCTTTATTTGTAAAATTGGAAAAAGAATTTCGACTCATGGAGTTGTACAAACACAACATATATGCTAGGTGTTCGGCCAGAACTTGGTATGATTAGTGAACAGTTAACAAAAGATTGTGCCATATTGCTTCAGCCATCTTTTATTCCTTCATATATTAAAGTTCTTAAAATCAGCATACACCTTATCACCAATGTATGCTTTCAGTAAGGGAGTACTGCTTTTCTTTCACTTCCCAGAGCTATTATTGAATCATCAGTGCGTCTTACAGCTTTTAACTTTATTTCTTCTCAGAGAAGACTGTAAATCTGGGGTCTCACTGTGTTTGCTAATCACTGTAATTTCAATTTTGTGTATTGAAAATAAAACTTTTATATTGTTTAAAATAAAAATTTTAAACAATAAATGATGGAATGCTAATGGAGGAACTAACATATTGTTACAAAAAGGCACAAAGTCTCAATTATTTTGTAGAATCTACTGAGAGAAATAACTTGAGGACTCAGTGTTCCAGTAACAGTGCTTGCCTTACTGAGACATACCATAACTGATATAAGATTTTTTGTTTATTTATAACCCACCTTGCTCAGAAAAGGATTTAAGATGGCTTACAAAGATAAAAATAAATGACAAGTATGTGAGAACTATGAGGGAGAGGGAAAATAAAGCCCGCAAAGAGTTTGGACTTAACAGGAAGTCAAAAAGAGCCACAAAAATAAAAATCTACAGAAAAAAAAAAAAAAGACAATTCTTGAGATTGGGAAAACGTGGAGAGAGCTTTCCTGGTGAAAATAGGTCTTGCTTTAAAGTATTTAGCTCAAAAGAAACTGAAGATTTGCTGTCTGGAGCGTGCTTGCCACAGCTACCTCCAGAGTCTCCCAGGGCAGGAGGGTGCTTTTTGATGGGCAGATTTTTCGCTGAAGATGAAGCCTCCCAAGGACCAGGGTTCCAGGGAAGCCTCCCACGCTCCAGACTTCACCAATTATTTCATTTTCATAATAAGCTCAGCCCTTTCCCTAATTGTTTTACTTTCACCAACACGAACAGGACAAAGGTAAGGACATTTCATCTTTTAAGGGAGAGAATTTCAGGTACAGTCTGTACAAAGATGTTAACTAAAATATAAAAATGAGGAGCTAGTCCTTGAAGTCACTGGCAAGCGATAAGATTTTACGGACAATTTAAGTATCGGTATTCCGGGGCGCACAAGGGTTTTTCTGTTTCAATTCCCGTGTCCTCTTGCCGTCTTATTGTTGCTTCCAAGAGCAGAGTGTCAAGGTCCAAGTCCAAGGGGAGATGTCTTTCCGGGATCTAACAATCTCAGAGGCCAGAACGGCTAGAGCGGGCTTCTCCCTCCCCTCGGAGGGGTGGAGACAAGAAGGGGGGATTTAAAACGTGTGAGGCGGCTGTGTTAGTTCAGATCTACATGGGAAATCCCCTGCACCCCTGAAAGTTATGACTGCTTGGGCAAGTTGCTCTCCCACGCAAACTCCTCAACTAGAAAGTGGGAATAGTCGTCCTTCCCTCAAGGACACAACTAGAAGGAGAATCCGATATAATGGGTCGAGCCTAATCAGCACTGAGCTTGGTAAACAGACTCGCGGGCCCATTGAGTGCAACTTTACGCAGAAGCAGCTTGGGAAAACTAGCGCCCTAGATGAGTCTTAAGTTTGGGAAACGCTGAGGCAACCTGGAAACTACTCAGCAGAGTAATACTAATCAGCAGTGGTGCTGAGGTTCCGCCCACTTGACAACCCACCCGTCCGTGAGCAATGACCAACCAAATGGCCGGGCTGAGCCGGGGTAGGGTCACCGGCATCTCTCCCGGGAGGGCCATGCCCTCGCCGCTTTGGGCTGCGGGACGCGTCCTCGCGGCTTCACCAACCCCGCCGAGCCGGGAGCCTCGGGGCCGAGGTGCGCCAGGTGGCGAGGGTGCCAGGCGCGGCCAAGTCGGGGCGGACTGAGTCAGCCGCCCAGCTATGTTGCGGAACCAGGGCGGCCGGCTCGGCTGCCCCCGCCGCTGAGCCTCGCTGCCCCCACGCCTGGCGGCTCTCCCCGCCCCCGCGGGCCTGGAGGAAGCGGCCTGCGGCGTGCTGGCCCCGGTGACAGCGCCGCCCGCGCGGCCGCCTCCGGCTGCAGAGGCCGTGCGGCCAGCCGGCGGGGAGGGAAGCAGGAGGCCCCGCTCCGGGGACAGGCGGGTGAGCACTGGTCGAGCCGGGCCGGGAGAGAAGCCGGAGACCGAGCTCCCCCCCCGCCCGCCTCGGCTCCCCAGCTCCGCTGCCCGCGCGCGAAGCGAGTCCAGCGGACTGCGCTGGGCTGGGCGGCGGGGCCGGGGTCGGGCGTGAGGACCGTCTGGTCTGAGCCGCGGCTTTCCGGCACCTCTCTGGGTAAATTTCCAGAGCGCCAAGTGTTCGGCTCCGGTTTCTACCGCTTGGATTTCGCTCCCGCATGTGGGCGTCTAAAAGGAAACCAGAAGCTGGTAAGTGATATAAAAACTCTACTTAGTAATGGGATTTGACTCAGGAGTGGGAAGAGCCGGATAGACAGCTAAGACCCCTTCCTCGAAAAGGAGCTGCCCGTCAGTGAGTTTCGGGCAGCAGTTAATTACTCGGCAGAGAGAATGAGTTCGCTCGGATCCCTGTGCTCCCCCGCACCCTACTTGTCCTACTCTTTGAGACCGCAGGCCTGTTAATTAACTTTAATTACAATCATTTGGCCTCCACCTGCCTGAACCTAACCTCATACTCGAAAACTGTCGACAGGGAGTTTACCAGATTGATTTTCTCGTTGACGTTTGGAGACAGGTCTCCTGGGAGAATGGGTGCCCGTCTCATTAAACGAGGTAAGTTCATCCTGGCTTCTTTTCTTAAACGTTCGCCTCACCTCCTTGCGGCCATCTGGAGTAATTTTGATTGGGGGGAAGTCTTTGCGAAAATATATTGTGAACTATAACCTTTGATAATTAGAGGCAAATTAGAAGCTAGTCTGTTTGGAATAATGACATTTTAGGCTGTTGCAAGTTTGTATGGTGATAGCAACTTTTGTGTGTGTGTGTGCAAGGGTGTCCTTGAAGTAGTCTGCTTAGTGGAATATATCCTTTTGGTTTAAAAAAAAAGTACCGAAAAATAAGCTATTTTTAAAAGTGCATATAATCGGATGTCATTGTGATTACCAATAATAGTGTTGTATTTACACCTCAGTATTGATTTCTCCCGCACTTAAGCACTCTTCCCCCGCATGAGTTTACGGGAACATTGCCCATAAGTAATTGGAAGATGAAGTTGTGACTATTTTAAAAAGGAAGGTAACTTTTTTAAGGGGAAAAGAGAAATACTTCTAAACTTATACTTGTGACTTCAATACACTTACAAGAGAAATATTGAGGGGAAAATTCTCATGACCTTCCACTGTTTAACAGTGTTTTAAAAAGAAAGAAAAAGTAAAATGGGTCATGGAACTAGGCTAGAGCCTAAAGTGGAAATATCTCCCTGGCTACTTTTCAGACAGCTGTTTAACAAATACACACTTAAGGTGGGTCTTAACACCGAGTGTTCTATATAGATTTGATTTGTCAGTACTCAAAGATTTGTTTAAATTAAAATATACCTAGAGGGGAAGTTAAATGACTTGTTAAAGTGGGTGTGTGTGTTTGCATTTTTTCCCTTCCTCCATAAGTCAGATTTTATATGGATAGTCCATGAAAGGAGAAACTGGTACATTTAAAAACAAATGTATTTTTTTTTTCATTTTTCCTGTCTCTTGAATATTAAATTTTTTAATGAAAGTTTCTTTGAATTCTATAGTGTTTCTTTTTTCAAAAGTTTCTCACATATGATTTCATTTAATCCAATAGTAGCCTCTTTTTTCCCCCACCTACCCCCACATTGCCCCTTCCCCCTTCCTTCTCCACACTGGTGATCAGTAGTTTGTTCTCTGTAGTATCTGCGTCTGCTTCTAAAAACAAATTTCTTAACCATCTCATATCACTGCAGTTTGAGCCTTCTAGATAGAGTACTTTTCAATTCAGCTACTTAGTTACTGTGATTAAGTAGAGGACTCAGAGGCTTCCCTGATGGCTTAGACCATAAAGAATCTGCCTGCAATTAAGGAGACCTGGGTTTGATCCCTGGGTCAGGAAGATCCCCTGGAGGAGGGCATGGCAACCCACTCCAATATTCTTGCCTGGGAAATCCCTTGGACAGAGGAGCCTGTCAGCCTAGGGTCCATACGGTGGCAAAGAGTTGGACAGAACTGAAGTGACTTAGCAGCAGCAGCGTAGGACTAAGATTATAATGAATTGCAATTTTCTTGGAAGAAAGTCTTAAACTAGCACCATAAGACTGTGAGGTTTTAAAAACCAGCTTAGAACTCTGTATTGTAAACATCATGATATTTGGGAAGTTTTCTGTTTTTGCTTTTCTTTCTATCCTACCTCTTAGCAACTTTGAGAAAGTTCAGTGAAAGATGCTATAAAAATGCTGCTTATGAATGACAGCCATTGCTTTTAAGAAGAAATTATTTTAATGTTTTAGCAAGTTTTTTTTTTCTTGTTTGTTTGTTGAATCATTTATTGAATCCAATCTTTTCACTTTCTAAACTTAGGAATTTGGGGAATTTTCTGGAAAATATTAGGTAAAGAACATTTTATTAATGTTGGATATATTTCTTAGCTTTGATCAAATGTGATTGATGAGAAACTGGAGGCTATGAGATGTTTTCTCATCTGCTTGATTGCCTAAAGACACCTCCCTCATTGCCCCACTTTGTGGCAATGACTGCTGTCTCCACCTACTGCATTCCCGTACATCTTGACATTCCCCTCTGTAGCTCCTTCACTGATCATTCTATCCTCAGAGTTCTGAATTGCTGCATATTTCAATTATATTTACGGAGTCAGTTTAAAGTTTTTAGAGTTCCTTGGGATTCTTGAAAGATGATGGTGCTACTTCTCTATGTAATTGTACATTAAACAATACTTAAAATATGAACCATGTGAAAGTCAAGTTCATAAGACTTAAGTTTTCTCATCATTACTCTTTAAGTGTTTTTATTGGGTACATTTGAGTCTTCCAATTTTGGTGTTCCTCTTTTACTGACTCATAAAGAACTGTCCATATGCATTGGGGAAGGAAATGGCACCCCACTCCAGTACTCTTGCCTGGAAACTCCCATGGACGGAAGAGCCTGGTAGGCAGCAGTCCATGAGGTCGCTAAGAGTTGGACACGTCTGAGCAGCTTCGCTTTCACTTTTCATGTTCATGCATTGGAGAAGGAAACGGCAACCCACTCTAGTGTTCTTGCCTGGAGAATCCCAGGGACGGGGGAGCCTGGTGGGCTGCCGTCTATGGGGTTGCACAAGAGTTGGACACGACTGAAGCGACTCAGCAGCAGCAGCAGTTCATATGTATGTCATTTTTTGCCTTGACATGCATATGGCTGTAACATGGTTACAGCCATGTTTAATACACTCCTTTAGATTTTAAACTCCTGGAGAGAAAACATTGCATTTTCACTTTCTTTTTAGTACTGTGTGTGTGTGTGTGTATATATACACATTGTATATGTATATATACATATACTGTATGTGTGTATATATATATAATCATTGTTCAGTCACTAAATCGAGTCTGACTCTTTGTGACCCCATGAACGGCAGCACTTCCCTGTCCTTCACTATCTCACTGAGTTTGCTCGAACTCGTGTGCACTGAGTTAGTGATGCCATCCGACCATCTCATCCTCTGTCGTCCCCTTCTCCTCTTGCCCTCAGTCTTTCCAACCATCAGGTTCTTTTCCAATGGCTCTTTGCATCAGATGGCCAAAGTATTGGAGCTTCAGCATCAGTCCTTCCAATGAATATTCAGGGTTGATTTCCTTTAGGAAATCTGGTTTGATCTCCTTACAGTCCAAGGGACTCGGAAGAGTCCCTTGAGAATCTCAAGAGTCTTCTCCAACTCTACAGTTTGAAAGCATCAATTTCAAATGCTCAATTTGAGCATCAATTTTGATGCTCAGTCTTCTTTATGGTTCAACTTGTATCCATACATGACTACTGGAAAAACCATAGCTTTGTCCACATGGACCTTTGTTGGCAAAGTGATGTCTTTGCTTTTTTACACTTCTTAGGCTTGTCATAACTTTTCTTCCAAGGAGCAAGTGTTTTTTAATTTCATGGCTGCAGTCACCATCCACAGTAATTTTAGAGCCCAAGAAAATGAAATCTGGCCTGTTTCCACTTTTTCCCCATCTATTTGCCATGAAATGATGGGACTGGATGCCATGATCTTTTTCTGAATACTGAGTTTTCAGCCAGCTTTTTCACTCTCCTCTTTTACCCTCATCAAGGGCCCTTTGGTTCCTCTTCACTTTCTGCCATTAAAGTGATATCATCTGCATATCTGAGGTTGTTGGTATTTCTCCTGGCAATCTTGATTCCAGCTTGTGAATCATCCAGCCTGGCATTTCAGGTGATATACTCTGCATAGAAGTTAAATAAGCAGGGTGACGACATACAGCCTTGATGTTCTGCTTTCCCAATTTTAAACCAGTCCATTGTTCCATGTTTTGTTCTAACTGCTGCTTCTTGACCTGCATATAGGTTTCTCAGGAGATAGGTAAGGTGGTCTGGTATTCCCATCTCTTTAAGGAATTTTCTGAAGTTTGCTGTGATCCATACAGTTAAAGTCTTTAATGTGATCAATGAAGCAGAAATAGATTAAAAAAAAAATTCCTTTGCTTTTTCTGTGATCCAGGGCATGTTGGCAATATGATCTTTGGTTCCTCTACCTTTTCTAAATCCTGCTGGTACATCTGGAAGTTTTTGGTTCATGTACTCCTGAAGCCTAACTTGAAGGAATTTGAGCATAATCTTGCTTTTATGAGAAATGAGTGCAATTGTACAGTAATTTGAACATTCTTTGTCATTGGAATGGAAATTGACCTTTTCCAGTCCTGTGGCCACTGTTGAATTTTCCAAATTTGCTGGCATACTGAGTGTAGCACTTTAACAATATCGTCTTTCAGGATTAGAATATATATATACACACACACACACACAATAGCACTGTTTTCAAATGAGATGATAGGTGTTATCTTGAACTGCAAATGTTTCTCCCTGTTACGTTATCTTGGAGAGAGTAGTTAGTGATCCTTAAATATTTATTTAATGAATAAATGTTAATAAATGAGTCAATCAGTTAAGAGACACTTGCTGAGATATCCTCTTACCTAAGAAAAAAGAGACTTAGATAATTACAGAGCCAATAGGAACAAGCCCTCAAATTCAGTTGGAAAAGAGGTCAGGGTGCTATTTATAAATGCTAAGAGAGGAAGCCATTCACAGTAGGCTATTTTGAAACATCTGGTTGTTAGTCAAAAACTGTGACTCAAATTCAGAGAAATAGTGGAGAATACATTTGTATCTCCATATTGTATTTGTATAAAATACTCAAAGCAAGACTTAGATATGATACATTTGTAT